TATCTCTTTCTGTCTCTCTCTCTCTCTCTCTCTCTCTCTCTCTTTCTCTCTCTCTTTCTCTCTTTCTCTGTCTCTGCACCCCCACCCACAACCCCCTCTTTACATAACGGCAATCCTGTTTATAAAAATATGAAATGATTCTCTTCAACCTAACAATAATCAATAAAAATGATGATAATAATAATTTATCTCTTATGTATCTGACAGTGACAGTCTCAAGAACACTGAGACACACGTGCTGCGTGCTCTCACCATCTCAATCATACAAACACATTAACTGACATTTGATACAGTTCAAAAGACAATTTAAAGTAAACTTACTGGAAATAATACTATTGCAGAAAAAAGTGGAGACAATAGGGTTTAAAAAAAACAAAACAACAAAACAATAAAAAATCTCTCATCTTCATTGCATTGTAAAAAAATCTGGATAGATACAAGTTTACAATGTTCTAACCACGGAGCACCCAGCTTCCACAAGAGTATTTTTATATAAATCGAGGTATGTTGTATAAAGTTGGACTATTCAACTCAGTTACTAAAAATAAAATATGCAACAAAGTTAAATGTATACATAAATTTGGTCAAATTTTTGACAAACTAAAAAAGTGTCACTGGTGAACGGCGTGATATTTGATAATACATCATCACAGTGAATATCACAGTAATGCAGTACATGTATTGCTTTCAAAATTCATTCAGAAATGTAAACATACTTTAGTAGATGACAGCCCCTTAGGGAATGAAGCATTTGACCAGGATTTGACATAAATAGATAACTACAACAGATCGATCTTTACACTCAAGTCAAAGTTGGAAACTCCCAAAACTTTTCGTTTCAAGAAGACTGGATGTTTGTTCTACAGTACTCTTGCCCAAGCACGATCCCTGCTACGGAGGGTGGGATGAAAAATTAATGGTCATAGTGCGGATCTCATTTGTACAATAGGCACAGATAACAAGCAACTATAATTAAAAAAGCTAATGGATAGTCAGAAAATGCCCCCAAAACCAAAAAATTCTAGAAGAAAACAAGAACACTGGACGCACATTGTACTTCTAAAAAAACCCTCTAAAACCATCACCGTCATCACACTAAAATGAAAAATGAATTCATAGGAAGTTACCAAACAAATACTCAAAGATAAAACAGTAATTGTCACAGTCCAAAATCCATTTTCAACTGAATAATACGAAGAAAATATACTATCCTTACATATTATATCTCAGACACATAATCATATAAGAATGGAACCTTTGGAAGGAGTGACAAATTAAACAATGGCAATAGTTTAGACGGATAAAAATTAAAGCCAGAAATTTTTGTAATGGCACCAACTTCAATAAACAAAATAAGAACATTGAAAACTACATTAATTGCTTACTTAAAGTGGAATATCCAAAGCTTTCGTTTCCCTTTCAGGGTGATCATAATCCAAACCTGTTCTGGGAAAAATCAAGGCACAACCCCACCTACCTGACTCAGTCTATGCTTCAACTCCACACCAGCTGTTGGCCACAATACTACAGCTCATAAGAACTGGGTTCGATGCAAAATCTTTGATGTTTTATTGTATTCTGGAAAAAAATTCATTTCCTTCTGAGGAAAAAAAAAAAGTATTCAAATCCCATGACACACTCATGTAACCTTGGGAACTTTTGATACCGTGCAGATTTCCACTGGGTCTGTCAGGGCTTCTCAACCTTTTGCAGCTAGTGACCTAGTTTTGGTTGTTAAAATTTTTTGGAAGACCAATTTCTTCGAGGAATCAAGAAAAAACATGATATAAAGCATTGCCTGACTTTCCATCCTTCTTCACTTCCCCCATTTGTACCCACTGAGGTGGATGGTAACGTAAAATGCCCACAGCATATATATATATCTGAGGTGCAGCCAATCAAAAGGCACAGATATGTCATGACAAGGTGGAATAGGGTGCTTATATCAATTTTTGGGCATTTGGAATTATTGGTACCGGTATCTTCATATTTAAAGCTTATTTATTCGTTTTGCTTTTGATGTGAAAGAAACCCAACCATTTAGCTTAAATAAAAGACGGTGGCCTAGTGGCTAGGCTCTCGGACTGGCAACCGTAAGGTCGTGGGTTCAAATCCCGTCAGGGGCCCGACGTTGTGTCCTTGAGAAAGGCACCTTTGCACAAATTTTCCTCACTTCACCCAGGTGGAAATGGGTACCCGGCTATAGACAGTGAACGATCTTGTCAGTTTGATAGTGTTTGAGTGCGTGAAATCCGCAGCTTGCACTGTATGCTTCCACGGAAGCCGAGTATATTTCTGAGTTTTCTCAGAGGGTCTGCTTGGGTAATAATAGTTGTAAAGCGCATAGAGCATGCTCTTGAGCATGGATATGCGCTATATAAATGCAATTATTATTATATTGAAGAGTGTGAAGGTTGCTTGGTGTCAGAGTTAAAATTACTGAAAAAATGGCTGCCAAAGTTTGAAGACAAACTTACATTTTGTGAGCTTTTCATAAATGTTTTTTTCCCCCGTAAAATACACAGAATTCTGTTCTGAAATGGATATAAAAGGTGTTGAGCCAAAAAATAACTTACTAAAAATTGCCCAATGTTCGGAAATACTGTGTCAGTTTCTTCCATTTCATTATTTTGATGAGAGCTTGATTTTACTTTGAAGACATGTGTGTGCAATTGTATGTTGGTCTTTTATCTTTCTTTTTTAACTTTTGCCCATGGGCCCATGACTCTCCCTCTGAAATGATCTATTTGCGTCTTGTAGCACAATAATCTAGAAAACAAAATTAATTAACATTACAAAATAACACATATAACACAACATAACACAACATAACACAACATAACACACCATGACATAACATACCAAAACATACCATACCATACAATAGCATGCCATTGCATACCAGAGCATACCAAAGCATACCATAGCATAACAATAACATAACAATATAACCTCAAGGCCTACTCAGGACTTACAACATACCGGTTGAGAAAGTCTGATTTGCTTAGCAACACCCCCGCCCCCTCCAAAAAAAAAAAAAGATAAAAAAAAAGAAAAAGAAAAAAATTAGTCAATTCGTTTGACATGATATCTTAAATTTCAGCTTAAAGTCCAGTTACTAGAAACCTGAACATATTGTGTTTTTGTTTGTTTGTGATATCTATAATGACATATCAGTCAATTAAAAAGAGAGGGAAAATAATATAAATAATAATCCTAATCAACGTCATAAAAGTCAGCAACCCGCTTGGCTAGCACGACAGCTTTCATCTGAGGTGACACAAGATGTCTGTGCAGCATTCGGACAGTTGCCCCAACACTGTCTCCCCATACTTTCATGACCAGGGCCATCGCATAGGGTGCCCGCATCCTCAACCATTGGTTCACCAAATTCTCCGGAATCCCAACTCTGTAAGCGATGAGTCGCCAGTCACAAGCTGTGAGAAACATCACATGGAAAATATTGTACAGCTGTTCCAATCTTTCCCTAGCATTCACTTGTTTATTTCCTCTTTAGTGATTGCAAAATCAAAATTTTGATTTTTTGTTTTCTTATTTCATCGTACAAAACTAACAAAAAAAACCCAAAAAGAATTAAAAAATTACAGCTTAGTTATAAAAACAAAATATAAAAAACATAACACTTATAGAGTAGTTCTCATCATGCTAGTTCAGTTGTATTATGTAATGGTATATTTTAGTCCATAGAAGCAGACAAGCTCTATGGGTTAAGAAAAACCTTATTGAAGCTTGTGCAACTATTGTCAAAGACATCACACATGCCTACAAACACACACACACACACACACATACACACACACACACACACATACACACACACACATACACACACACACATATACACACATACATACAAGCACACACACACACACACACACACACACACACACACACACACACGCATGCAAGCATGCATGCAAAGTATATACATGTATATGAACACACACATGCACTTACACATGCACACATGTATGAACACACATTCAAACACGCACAACAGGATACCTCAGACTGAATTGTGAAACAGGATCCAAAAACAAAGAAAGAAGGGATGTAAAAGAAGAGCTCCACATAATGCTGCAAGACTCCATTTCTTCCTATGCATCAATATTAATTACTGATTCTTTAATTAGCTAAAATATGGTACAAACATAGACAGTTTGCACTTTAAATTTTAAACCGTTGGTCTTGCTGTTTGAATTGACAACCACAAAATCATTGTTTGTAACTATTTACTTCAAAGATACTCACCATTCCCCTTTCTTTTGCTTAGACTCCTGATGATAAGACTCCTTAAACCGGGATGCATGTCAAATATGTGAGTGTCACCAGGAAGCTTTTTTTCAGGCTGATGATAGGAGAAAGTTTTCAAAATCAATGAGAATAACATTACGGACAAATGAATTATAATTTATATCATAGGTGATGTGAACCAGCGGAAAAGAGAAATTGTGCATCTCAGCAACATGTAATGATTTCAGTCACTTTTACCTTCATCTCCAGGAACTTTCAGTTCACTGAAGGCAGATAGATGTAGATTTTAAAGATCCTGCACGGCCATTGGGAGTAGTTACACCTCTTAATAGAACAATTTCATAAGGAAATCAAACATGTTTGTGTTTATTACAGCATAGCCTTAACTCTTTCTGTACTGTGTACCTATATATCATTGCCTTTATTCATACCTTATAACTATATGCTGATAAATCTGGGTACAAAAAAGTTTCAGTTAAAGCTGCCATGAACAAATTGCTATCATCGACATGATGTATAAATATATATAGGCCTATGTCTCACTGTAATAAAAAATGTTGACGGTTAATGAAAATATTGATAAACATCATGTCTAAATGTCATAAAGCATGCTTGTACAAAAACAGCAAAACATTTTCTGTAAACTAAAAAAATGTTCTGCTTAATACATTCTGTAGTAAACTGACAAAAGGGATTTTCACTTAGATGCACTAAGAAATATTTTTATATATGAACTGTACTTACTGGTTCCAGCTCTGCCTTCTCCGAGCCCCTTGGGGTTAAGTTGATGCTCCGAGCACGGGGATTTAAAACATTGAGGTAAAGCAGAGGAATTTCAGGCTGAGAGTCTGCATAGGAAGTGGCTATACTTGTGACGTCACTGACACCTGACTGTGGTCTTGATGACATCACATCACTGGCGGCAGGTGTGATGTGACCATTGACTGGTAATTCTATCCTTGGGGTTTCCATTGGGGTGACAAATATATGTGTGCTGCCTGAAACAGACAGTTCTCATTTTCACTAACTACATTTGAGTCATGGAAAAGAAGAAAATAATAACTTTATGAGATGGAAATTGGTGAAAGTTCAGACAATTGTCATAATTTGAGAATGACAACGTGAATTGTGGAATAACTGTTAAGTTTTAAAGATTTTTTTGTCTGGCCACTCTTAAAGGGGGCATTATATTATATAATTATAATCAACCAACATTCCCCCCATCAATTTTTCCTAAAAAGAAATTTAATTCTTTTCACCAAATACGCTGACAAACCACTGTATTGTGGTTAGCGCTTTCTCTTTGTTTATATCAAATTAGAAAACAAATCTGAGAAACAAAATATAAATGAACTTTATACTCACAGCAATCATACCACAAACGCTTCCCTTGTACCCTGAGATCTTCAACTGTGTACATGCGCTCCATATCTTTTAAACCGTTTTCGACTTTCAATTTCAATTTAAGAAGTTTCGCTAACTCTGCATTCAGTTGTGTGATTCTCGTTTCCAGTTCTTCCATACGAACTTCATAAGCATGCAAACTACTTCCAGGAGTGATGGTCAAATTAGTCACCATGGTCGTCACATCAGATTCTGGAACATCTACTAAAGCTATGCCTTTGGTGGGTTTGTAGTTGTCCACATTACAGTCAATGACGTGGTGTACAATGGCGTGAAGTTTGTCACGATAGTAAGTGACGGATTCTCTCAGTTCAGCGTTTTGTTCGCGAAGATCTTCTGTCATTTTCCGAAGTTGCACAATGGCAGGGTCCTCCACATCTTCCTTTTTTCCTTTCCCAGACTTGGGCCTTTTGCCCTTTGGGGCGCCCTTTTTGGCAGACATTGCTGCTGTAAGCACAGTCTTCCTTGCTGCTCAGTAATCAGAAACTGTTTTTGAAAAAAAAAAGATGGAAGGCAGGATGATACAACTGTTGCACAATCATTCAAAGAGATAGAGTGTTGGACAGGCAGACAGACACACACACACACACACACACACACACACAGCAACAACAATAACAAGCACAGACAGACAAACACTCAGACAAGCACAGGCACTGATAGACAGGCACAGACATTCCAGATAAGCAGCCAGACTCACAAATGGACAACAGATTGACAGGCAGACAGACAAGCAAACAGACAAACAAAAAGAGAAACAGACAGAGGGACAGACAAACAGCCAAAAAGACACACAAGAATAACACATGAATACCCTTTATTTCTTAAAACAAAATGTACAAATCTGCTGAGCACAAATGGGTCACAATCTTGTGTAAGATCGACGGCCAAGCATTGTCAAGGGGAAAAGTGGCCATGCGGGAGCTGAATTTGCACCAACCCCTGTCCAAGTTGCCCCAAGTGAGGGTATACTACAAAATCATGATCGGTTGAAAATTTGGAATGCAAATTGAGTAAAGAAATCGAGAAGTAGATGGCTGTTTTACAAAACGATACCAAGATATCTATAGTCTCATGTTCTTTCATAAAGGCGGGAGGAGTATCGGTTACTTTTGCAGCACTACACAAACCTGTCGAAGCTGTCCCAACCTACCCTAGACTGACTGTTTGGTAAAATTAAAACTTTGGCTGCATAGTGACAACCAGAGGGGTTATATAAACACAAATTCATGCCAATTTAACTTTATTTTCAGCCAATCATGTGAAAACAACTAATTTATTTCAATAGGATGGACCATTATAAATTATATTTATTAGTGACTTGCAAGAGATGGAACATATAAAACGATATTTAGAACTAGCACATAGCCTCCCACTGAATAGCAACGGATCGCTCCGAGAGTTTGATAAGGTTAGGCCTACATTATATTTTGAAGCATTTATGGTGCTGAGAATGAACAGCAATATAATCTGCTATAAGACTAAGAAGTTTAAGGAGGGATAGGATCTTAATTTATATTTATAGAAAGGTCAACTTAAAACTGAAAGATAAAGTTCTAAAAGTGGTACTGATTCAGAACTCAGTCTGCAAAGTATAACGGATTCCAAAAACTGTCTGTTTTTTTGTCTTTTTAAAAGTAAAGGGGAGCAATGATTTGAAAAAGCAGAAACCATGACACAGACTAGATCTATTGAATAGTTACAATTTTGTGATCCACCCATTAACCATTGAATGTCGAGCGAAATTGGACAATAATTGTCAAAATGAATAGAGTCTAGATCTAGATATATCTAGTCTAGATACATTTGAAGAGGCAGAAAGAGCTGCTGAAACTAAATTTGGGTTTATTTTTACACACACGTACGTTAGACCCCTATGACAGTGGCGAGCTGACTGAAGACTGAAATAATAGTACTCCCACTGTAGGCTTCGATCTCACGTAGAATCTAGATCTAGATCTAGACTCTGACTTAAAAATCAGTTCTGAAAATATGTTCAGTTTGAAAATAATTTGAAGTTTTCCTATACATTTGCAAATCCTAGAGCGAGGAGCTCGCAAGTAGATCTAGTTACCGACTGGAGTCTCAGTGGATCTCGTCGTTTACGGCGGCGGCCATTAGTTTACATTAGACACGATGGTCTCTAAGAAATACACCCACAACGTCATTGTTATTGAGAGTCTCGTCACTTCCGTAAACAGTAATGGCGACTGCCGTGGGAACTTTGCTTCCTCGATCCGCGATCAATAGACTCCATCCCACAACCGAGCCGCTGGCTCACCGTGTCTTAGTGCCGACTTGAGTCTGGAATGTCGTCTGTGCTGCCCGTGTTTGGGGTAAGTTTTCCAACGAAAATGAATCGATAAATCAATCTGGTGGTCGTCATGACTTGTCAGAAAGAAATGGAGTTTATGGAGTATTGTGGAGCCTTTTCATCGGAACTGCATGAAATAAAGGTGTATGTTGTTTACTATTTTGGCATTGTATGTTCTTTTACGTGAGATAGCCTAGAATCTCCATCTAAATTGCACGCACGGGTGGAAGTTTCTGTCGGTTGGCCTGATAACCACTTGCTTTTTTTCTTGCTCTTCTTCAATGCGCGCGTGATCGATCTCTTGTCTCACTCACTCTCACACACAATCCAGTCTGTTTCTATTCCTCCTGTAATTTTTATCATGTAGAGTCTAGGCCGTATATCGTATGCTTGAAATTAAGTATACTTGTTTTAATTGTATGCCATATTAGTATTAGACTGTTCAGATTGCCTCAGGAGTCTAAAATCCAGGGTTCGAGACATTTATGTATTTTCCTCTTGTTCCCGAGGTCAGAACGCAAAGCAATTTTAAGAAAATTGTAAAAGAAGTCATCCTCTACTGAGCTGCAGACTTTTCAGAATTCTTTTTTTTTTTTTACTCATGCACCTGTCTCATGTACACGTTTTATGTATACTTTTTTTCTAGTATTATTTTGCATGCTGAATACGAATATGGCCTTCATTTATGCCGCAAATCAATAGTTATTGAGTTATTGATGTTTGAAAAAATAGTAATCTGACTTGATTTTAACAACATAGGGGGTTTCAGGGGGGCATGCCCCCCTGCATTTCACAATGATTTGATGTTAAACAATTAGATATCTAGGATTGATATGTTTAATTTACTTGAAAACAATTGATTTGCAAGGGTTTTAGTGGCCATTATATGTGTGTTCTACTGCAAAAACTATGGGAGTTTAGCCCTCAAATCAATGCATCTCTGTGTGTGGGTGCAAATAAGTAAAAATTTACCTTCTCTATTTAAATTACAGAAGAACAATATTGAAGTATGTCTTGTTGAACTAATAATAAAACTGTGAAATCGCACTTTATTTGCACCCATAGTAGAACCTACTATCATAGAAATAGACTTTCTAGTCTAGTCTTTCCTTCCTGTTGTTGATATTTTAAATATTTTTTTAAAAACAATTTTTTTTAGTTTGTTTTTGTTCACACGACACATTGCTGGTTGCTAAAAATACTGAGAGCTTCACTGTGCTTTTCATTGAGATATTTCACTCCTTCTTTGTACTTGGTCTAATAATTCTATTCTTCGAGAACAATTCTTGATAGCCTCTATTTTTCATGAAGAGTAGATTGTTGTAAAGCTTAGAGTCCTTTCATACTAAAAAAATAACACGCTATGCTCTAGTTTGGCGGCATAATATTAATGAGGATCTGATTATTGTCTTAAAAAGACGCAATGAGCAGTGGTCTTCTGATCCTTTGAGGACCCATGATACACTTGATAGCTTTCTTGGGTCTTCTGCTAGATTTGCTCAAAAGGCATGCTGAGGCATGCTTTCAATGTCCAGAACGTTCAGGTGTGCGCTTGGGATAAATGTTGCACTTTTTGACATAATGAGATCTCTATTTATTTTGAGTATTAAATTCTCAACAATATAGTGAAGGCCCTAAAATTAACTCTCTGTCATTTTTCATAGAGTCACCCCTAAATTTTGTCATTGTTATTTATGCAGTGCTTCATAATTTCCTTTTTTGAATGTGCTTTCTGTGTGAATCTCCTGTCAAAGGTTGTATGCTCTTCAAGAGAAGAAAGAAAAATAAATAATTACTTATGTGAGGCATCATGTTGAAATTGGGCGCTCGTCTAAATATTGAAATCGAAGAGTAGGCCTCTACAGCATTTTTCCACCCATTTGGAGTTTTTATCAAATTTTTGTTGACTGGCTCAACGTCTTTTATGTCCATTGAAAAAAAACACATTTCTGTGTGGATTTTACTGAAAAACGTTGATTAAAGGCACTAAAATATAATGTTTAGTTTCCAGCTCTATGGAAGTGACCAAACTTTGGGGGCCATTTCTTGCCAATTTGACCTCTGAAACCAGGCAACTCGCTCCTCTTTCAATCGCAAATTTATCTCAGCTTCTATTCAAGATAGGTATTGTTTTTCACTGAAAGCAAGACAAATAGACAAGCGTTCAGATGATACCAATAACTCCATATATGTCAAAAAATTGACCAACACCTGATTTCACTGCATCAGGACACATCCTCTTCTCACGTGTGTAGTTTCAGTTTGGGTTACACAGCGATGCTATTAATGGACTTTTGCACTTGATGCTTTATTGTCAGGACTATCATTACTCATCCGTCTTTGGACTATGAGTGCTTTCACATGAGGCTTCCTGCATTAGCTTGACAAGAATAGTTTAGCTGCTTGCCTGAAGTGCATTTAGTTTGTAAAACATAAGCCATATGTCCAATATGCACAAAACATGTGTTAAATGGATGTATGCATAGTCACACCTTGTTATACTATCGCCCCATTATACTGCCATGCCCGCCTGCCGCAAGGTGTTTGCCAATCATGTATGAAAAGAAGCGACTATAATAGATATAAACATAGTATTATAGCCTTTACATGGTTATCTGCTAGCTGCCTGGTTTTTACAGTCCAGTCCTTGATGAGCTAATGTTAATTTGCCTCTCTCTATACAGCCGATGAATTGGCCGCCAGAGATAAACGCTACATACAGCACATGGCACCCACTCAGTGGCTGCTTCTCTTTCCCGAACACGCCTCTCTACGATTTGGCCTATTTCTGGCATTTGTTGTCAATTTGCTTCTGATTTACGCTGATTATGGAAATGCTATTATTTTTAGACTTTGGTCGATATTTTTTTCTAAAAAATGAAATGAAATGTTTAATTCACTTGAAGAAATTTCAAAGGAACTGTGTCACCCTGACCAGCTGGCAAAATGCCCCTGGAGTCACAAGATAGAAGATAGATAACCAAAAGGCTAGTGGGTGCCCTTGCAGCTTTTATATTGTGAGGACCCACACTCAAGTCTACATATGAAAGATTTGAGACAGCCAAAGGACTGACGAGTACTGGGTAAAAAAACTGTCTACAGGGCTCTTGACATATATATATATATATATATATATATATATATATATATATATATATATATATATATATATTTATATATATAGCTTAGCTTCTGATCCGCCAGAAATTTTCAATTTGAATTTATGTAAAGACCAACCGGAGCAAATGTAATTGGTTACTACTGCTACCTGTTTTTTCCCTGCACATGGCAATCGTGAAAGACAGATGTAGATGAGACAAGACTGGCCACGTTTGTCTGTAGTCTCTACCAGTCAGCCACAAGTCAAGGTGGCAAGCAGTGCTGTCCAGTTATACTGCCAGCCACTCATTGTACTGCTACTTTCATGCTGTCTCTAGGTAGGCGGTATAACAGGGTTTGACTGCACTATTTTGCCGTAAGAATCTGTCTTATCAGTGCTGTGCACTTGAATAAAATTATAATGTTTTTCAGCTGACCTGTGACATCTTTTAGTTTTTATGTTCAGTGTCATTGAAAATTACTAATCTTTTTTTTTTCTCATTTTTCTTTTTAAATTCTTCTTCCCTCTTGATTTCAAAGGCAGTCGTCCATAGCTTATAATAGCTTATGAAGGCCAAAATGCGACTGATATTTTGAATAGTTTGATTTCAAGCCTAATAAATCTTTTAGTGTACTGTCTCAAATGTTTTGGTGTTTGGCAGAGACCTTCAATTAAAAGGAAACTATTTGAAGGGGGCTGAGGAGGGGGGATATTAGTGGGTTAAAGCTTGTGCTAATCTCGAATAAAGAATGGAAAAAACAAACTTGTGAAAATTCCAACGAATTGTTTTAGTTAGAAAGGCAGACACTGTATCTCCAGATTACACAGTTGTCATTTTGTAGATAATTTTGATGGAAGAAAATTTGTCTCCATTTTACCCATGAGTAGTAGACCTTGATGGAGGGCCTTGGGAAAAAAAAAGGGGGGGGGGGGAGGGGGAAGACGGGTAAATTGTTATAGGAAAAGTTAACATTTGAACTGTGAGTGGTCTAAGAAATAATGGAATTTTTCTTTTATTATTTTTTTTTTTAGAGTGCTCTGAATAGTCTCTGTATGACACATGTGACGGTATCAGGAGAAGCATCCTTTTATTAATTTAGCACTTTTAAATGTTTGTTAACATTGACAGTTTTTGTTAGACTGGATAGTACAGATAAAGCATCCTACTCACATGCTTTTACCAGCACGTTTGCTTGCAGTACTCAGTAAACTAGTAGTTTCTTGACCAAGTACAGAAATCATTTGTAAAGAATGTTTCTCTTTAACACCACCATTAGGTCATCAGATTTATTGGCTGTTGATTCTTTAATGCGATATCACATGAGAATTCTTATATCTCAGCGAAATCAATGGGTAGCTTCACCGTCAGTTGATGTAACTGTGAATCTGTATATGACACAGCGGGACACTTTGACCTTTTTCAGACCACTCTGGGCTCTGGCTGATATATGGCTGTGTGCTGGCTGTGACAGCCCTGGCATATCATAGGGGAAATACAAAGGTTAAAGTTCAAAAGTCAGGAGGAACACAATGTGAAGCAATTTGCCGGTATATAAACTGTTGCATTGTCGCTGGATTCTCATTGCTACAACTTTGCTTGCATTGTCAATGCATCTGTGCTCTGTTTTGAAGCAGCTGTCTTTGTGTAGATCGATTTTTTAAAGGATATTTTTATATTAGGAGCTGCACATTTGTAAGATTTTGATACTTGTTTTTGCTTCTCTGCATATATTTTGTATTTCCCATTTGATTAATGGCTTATTTGCTGCAATTCAGGAAGGAAGGTGAAAAAGACATTATCAGCTCAGGTTCTATAATCTGTGTAGTAATGACCAATGACAACCTTGCCATCAGAGAGTATGAGGACAGCTTCCGGAACCACCATTGTATGGAGAACTCTTAAACAGCAAATATATGTATGTCATGGACACACTGAAAAAGTCAGTTAAATTTCTCAACTTTTTTTCCCTGTCAATGATTCTCAAGTCTCAACTTTTGTGTAACTGTGTCTCTGTCAAAATTTATTGATTTATTTTTGTTCTCCTTTTCCAGGTGGCAGCCAGTCACTTCTTGCTATGCACAGAACCATAAACATCAAACACAGAATTGTTAGACGTGTAGACATAGGAAAAGCTCCTCTTGCTACTTTTGATACGATAGACTTAGGGGATGAAGACATCAAGTCCAAGCACAGCGCCACCAAGCGAGCTGCCTATGGCCGCCAGCAGCTGCTCCAGGGCCTGAGTACTCACCATACATTCGATCAAGATGGAAGCTTAAAAACAGAAACCATAGGGGGAAATAATTCCAAGAAATCCCTGTCTCAAGCAGGCGGGGAGGACAAAGATGCCACGAAGGACATCGAGTCTGCCAAAAACACATCGGAGGCAGGTGGCGAGGTCAAAGATGTAGGCAGCGGCAAGGAAGCTGATGGAGCGACTAAGACAGCCGACTCTAGGACCGTGGAAAGAAGCCCTGAGATCAAAGTCTCAAGTGATCCCAAGAAGATAGAAGGGTCACCTGGGAAGCCTTCAGAAACTGCGGAAGATAGATCAGAGGAGGCTCCTGCTGTCGCTTCTCGTCAAGGTACTCTGGGAAGGGTGAACATTCCCATCAGAAAACAGAATTCAGATTCTTCTTCCAGTTCTGGATCTGGTGAAGAGCAGCAGTCACATCATTTCACATTCCAAGCTTCGCGTCCTTCCATCGGTCACTTTGATGCTACGCCTGACCAGGAAACCCCTAGTCAAGAGGCTCCCTTGGATGAAAGAGACAGTCACTGCACGCTTTTGCCGGATAACATTGATCCAAGCCAGATTTTGTCTCCTTCAAAGCGGAAAGCATATGAGAGGCGCATTGAAAGGTTGAAAGTTACAACATCTCCCATTGCTCGCCCCCGAAGCACCGCGCCTATTAGTGTTGTAACCCTTGATGAATATGCAAATATCAGCTCTCCGGAGAATTCTCCGGCCTCTCCTTCCATCCTACAAGACAAGCTAAAAATTACTCTTCCACCGGACGAATTCACATCAAAGCCCAAAACTCCACGGCTACACAGCGCACGACGGAAAGATTCTGATGACACATGTTTCGAGTTCACTGAAGAGATTCTTTTCAGTCGCAGTAAATCTGCGCTTGTAGTGGAAGAGGATGGTCTTCTTCCCCCCTCACCCCGAAGGGTACTGATCCCTCCAACACTTACACCCACCTCCTCTCCCAAACTATCTTCCGATACCCGGCTCAGTTCCGAGTCGCTGTCTGAAGAAGCTGTCGGTGGTACCACTCCAAAGCTAATCTACATTCAGCACAACAAAGCAGCGCACAAAATATTTGGGGACACTGTGGATGAGACAGATGAGGATAATTGGGCCAGCTTTCCGGATTCCTCAGTGCCTGACGGAGATAAGTCTGAGTTTGAAACTGCTGAAAAAGAAGAGTTGAAAGAAGCACGTGACAGTGTTGTTTGTGAGTTGGAGAAAGGTCTCCCTGATGCCAATGCCTCTGTCTCTCACTCTTGTTCTGTGGTAAAAGGGACAGGACTCCCTGCTGTTGGTGGTTGGGATACATCTAGTGAAACTGCTGTTGCTGCTGAATCTGAAGTCAGCTTTGACTTGCCTCAGAATCTTAGCGAAACCGTGACAATATCAGAGGGTGGAGAAGCTTTCCTTTGTGGGACGGGTAGTGGTGGGGATGCTAAAAGTGTGCTTCCTGATACTGATAACAATGAACTGTCTTATTCTGAGTTGGCCGCGTTTGTAGAACCGGCAGGTCAGGAGTCTGCGTACACCACAGGGGTGTCTCAGGATTTGCTGACAGGGCATGGGGCTCCTTACCTACCCCACCCCGAGTATGAAACAGAAGAAATTCTCATGGTAGAAATCCATGAGGCTGCTGAAGGTTGTGAAAAAAGAATTGAGATTGACGTGAGGTCAAGCAACAGCAGTGGAAGTTTAACCCCTGAGGGTCCAGACGCCACATTTCTGGGCTCACTGGGCTCCAAGAACTTGGCTGCTGTCTCTGGCAACAGTCTCAAACCAGTCCCAGACCTGAACATTCAGCCAGCAGTGGCCGATATAGAACATGATAATGATATTCTGGTTCCGATCTTCCCACCTCAAAGTGTCACAGGTGGCCAGCAACTTGTGACAAATGCTTCCTCTAGTCAACAGGACGTCCTTGACCTGAACTCAGTACCCTCCCAGAGCGACACATTGTCAAAAGATGAGCACAAGTCTGTTTCACTAATAGACCAGGAGCTCGGTCTCGCCCATTCACAAAACCTGCCTGCTTTCAGCTCCATCCCCCTTGCCCCAAGCCCCGCAGCCCCTGGTCTGAGTCTGCCATCTGTGCTGGCCGATGACCCGGCCCAAGCTGGCCACCAGGACCTGGACGAGTGTGGACTAGGACTACTACAGCCTTTTTCCAACCCTGTCTGTGAGAACTTGAGTGCGTCCAGTGATTTAATCGACTTTTCTTCCTCCCTGGATGACCCATCTGTGCAGTAGTGGACAATAGTGCATCATTTGGTGAGTTGCATTTCCTGTATTAGAATTTGCTACTGTGCCATATTTGAAAGTACTCTTGTGCTTTTACTTTTTTTTTAGTAAGAGTTTTACGGCACTTGCAACACAATGAATAAGGTCATATAAGTGCAGAAGATTAAAGGTGTTACAAGAAAGTAACAAACACAAAATAAGAAGGAGGGGAGAAAAGGACGACAGATGTTTGATAGGATAGAAGGAGCAGACCACACCAGAGCACCCGCCAACCACCCACTCTTTTACTTTTACCTGTCAATAGATTATCTTTTTTTAAAAATGCTGTTACCTGAAACAACACAATTCTGTGTGAACATTGCCCATTGTCCTCAATTTCTGGTCTGTTTCTCGTGAGGACTGTTTCTTCTTTCTCTATTTAGTGTTGCTGTCATCCTCCTAATCTGTGCCTGGCGACATGTGGTTATTTTCGTGCAGACTCAACTTGTCACTACTCATGATAATGCCTGTGCGCTTGTCATTTTATCTGATTCTTGCACCGTGGTCCTGTTCACGTAGTATAACTATGTACTTGAACCATCTGCTCAGGCTGTGCTGTTGTGACGTTTTTTGTGTGTTTATTTTGTAAAATACAAAAATAATGTAACTGGCTAGACTGGCTCCTAGTTACCTCGGTGCACCGAGGCTGGGAATGTTGTAGTGTGACCTACTTTTTTCGACGTTTTCTTTTTCCGAGGATTTTGTGTTTTTCAATGCAGCAGCTTTAACTGTAGTCCATGTAACTCTTTAGTTTCCCAGGGGAGGGAGAAAGAAAAAGGGGGGGGGGGGCAGGCTGGTAGCAGAGACCCCGAAATAACATCTTTTCATTGGAAGTCTACTCAGGGTCAACAGTTCGTCATTTATTTGTAGCTACAAAGACTGATGCTCAGAAAATAGTTCAGTTCCCTTTTCGACCAGGAAAAGTCTCATCTAATCTTACTTGTTAAAAGATTTAAAGGGCCGGTCCTAGTAGGACGTATAGAAATGGGACGTTATAGCTTTCTTTTACTTTTACTGATGGGAAATTTGGTGTCCGAGGATTGTCAGGCTTTTGGAGAAGTTGGCACACAGTGTCACGACAGACGTTGTAACGGTGGTGTCACAGGTGGTGTCACGGTGGTGCCACGACAGACGTTGTTGTAACGGTGGTGTCACGACAGACGTTGTTGTAACGGTGGTGTCACGACAAACGTTGTAACGGTGGTGTCACGACAGAAGTTGTAACGGTGGTGCCACGACAGACTGTGTCACGGTGGTGCCACGACAGACGTTGTAACGGTGGTGCCACGACAGACGTTGTAACGGTGGTGCCACGACAGACGTTGTAACGGTGGTGCCACGACAGACGGTGTCACGGTGGTGTCACGACAGACGGTGTCAGGGTGGTGTCACGACAGACGGTGTCAGGGTGGTCCCCCTCACCCCTCTCTCCGTATATTATTACATTGTTATGATTCACATACACAACACACACATATACGCACGCACGCACTCACTCACACACTCATAC